AATTTCTTATCTGTTTCCCTATGCAATATTGATGCTGCCAATAATGTGTTTCAGCAGATCCAAATTTCAATTATAACCTCAATAACCATAGGAAAAAAAGCGATTGTCTAGTACAAGACTTATTCTTTATAAAATAAGTGGTTTAAGATGCCTTTCACCATGAATTCAATTCAAAACCTCAGTGAGATATCTCACACCTGTCAGAATGGTCATTATCAAAAAGACAACAGAGGGGAGGGTATATAGCCCAAGTGGCAGAGCTCATGCTTAGCATGCAGGAGGCTCAGGGTTCAATCCCCAGCGCCTCCATTTAAAAGAAAGGAAGGAAGAAAGAAGAAATCTAATTCCCGCTCCCCCCCAGAAAAAAACAATCACAGGAGTTGGAAAAGATGGGGAGAAAAGGGAACCCTCACGGACTGCTGGTGGGAATGTAAATTGCTGCAGCCACTATGGAAACAGTATGGGTGTTCCTTACAAAATTAAAAATAGAACTACCATACAATCCAGCAATTCTACTTCTGGGTGTTTTTCTGAAGAAAACAAAAATACTAATTCTAAAAGATATCTGCACCACATGTTCATTGCAGTATTATTTACAATAGCTAAGATATGGAAACAACCTAAGTGCCCATTGATAGATGAATGGATAAAGAAGATGTGGTGTATATATACAGTGGAATATTACTCAGCCACAACAAAGAGTGAAATCTTGTCATTTGCAACAACATGGATGGACCTAGAAGGTACTGTGCTGTGTTCAGAATTAATTATTCATTTAGTCATTCATTCAGCCATTCAACAAAATCTTGTCATTTTACAATATTGTATTATTTTATCATTAAATGAGATGAGCACTAATTTCAACAATAGAGAACAGGATTCTTTGCAGGGTAGATTTTATTTTTCCAGATCTCAGTGCTGGTTTAGTGTTACGTAGTTGTAAGATGCTTCCACCTGCATGATTTAATCCTCTCCCTAGACCTGCACTGTAGGGAAATGTATCAACCATTCTAGTTTAGACAGGAGGTTATGGAGGAGCCAAGTAGCTAATCGACTTGCCCTCAATTTCATATGTAGTCAGTAGCAAAGCTGGGACTATAACCTAGTTCTTCTGGCTCTTTCCTTGACAATCTGCCTTGCATATCCTGTGCAGTTAGGTGCTCTGTATTTGTTTAGTCAATTAATCAATACATTTCAGGCCAACAAGGTAGATTTTTGCACATTTCTTTGAATTAAATATCCTCTCCATTTTATAATCAAAGAGCTGAAAAATATTACTATGGGATTCTTAATGCATAGCTTTTGCCTTTAACCATTAAGTCAAGTGAACATTCTGGTTCAACTACACAATGCTGTTAAGTTGACCTATGTATTAACGGAATGTGTATCATACCCTTTTATCCATAAAGTGAAACCAACCTTAGACACAGACTTTTCCTTTTAGAATGGAGAATATTAGAGCAATTTTTTGCATGAATAAATTTCTAAGCAAGTGAAATGAAGAGCTGCTCATAGATATGCTCAATAATTTATTATTTTTAAGTGTCTTTCTATTCCATTCATTTCTAGTTACTGTTACATTACCTATAAAAATGGCATAGTTGTTAACTCGGGGTTATTTATGTCAGGAAATACAGACCCCAAGATCAATAACCTTGTTAGCAGATATGAGAAAATACTTTTCTCAGATTACAGAGAAATTTTCATACACCATTGACATCACCATAATCATTCAGTTAAAAACTGATGCTCATCATTGAGCAACAAAATATTCTAAATCATTGTGGTCTGCAGATGAGTGTCAGTAAACAGTTTGTCCACAGGGAGATAAGGACAGACACTGAAACAAATTTGACAGAGTAATCTGTCTGTGGAGCCTAGTAAGTTTTAAAAAGTGGGTATTTTTATCTTTTTTGTTTCATTATTGTATTAATTCAATTTTTAACTTTATTGAGGTATAATTGACATAGTGTCATCCTCTCATTTTACACATACATTTAAATTGGTTTTGGTAGATTTGTCCACCCTTTAATCATGAACAAAGGCATAATGTAGGGTATGCTCATCACTCCTCAAGAGTTTTGTTGTGCTCAGTGCAGAAAGTCATCGCCCATCCCCAGCCCTAGGTGACCATGGATCTGCCATCTGTACTTACAGATTAGATACACCTTTTCTAGTGATGTTGATTGCTGAGTGTATTTCCAGTGTACGGGTGTTCCACAATTTGTGCAGTGACTCGCGGGTGAACATTTGGATTGCTTACAGTTTGGGGCCATTATGAATAAAGCTGCTGTACCATCAGTGTGTAAGTCTCTCCATGGATGTATTTTATTTCCCTTGGGTAAAAGCCTTGGATTGGAATTGCTGAGTTGTGACAAAAATGTCTTTAACTTTTCCAAAGTAGTGTGTATTATTTTACATTTTCATCAGCTATGTGTGTGATTTCCACTTGGCCCATTTCATTGCCAACACCTGGTGTTGCGAGGCTTTTAACTTTTAGCATTGTAATGAGTATTTAGTGGTACTGAATTGTGACTTTGTGTTTCCTGATGACTGATGCTGCCGAGAAACTTTTCATATACTTACCAACTATTTGTATATCTTCTGCAAAGTGCCTGTTGAAATCCTTTGCCCATATATTATTGGATTGTCTTCAGAGTTCCACATGTATTTTGAAAATAAGAACTTAAATCTTTGTCTACCCCAAGGTCATGAATATTTTCTTTTGTTTCATAAGTTTGAGAGGTTTAATAAATTTTTATTTTTAAATTAATGTATAGTTGATTTACAATGTTGTATTTGTCACCAGAAGTTTGAGACTTTTATGCTTAGCTTTTATGTTTAGGTTGATGGTCCATTTTTAGCCATCCAATTTTTATGTGTGATATAAGAATTGAGGTTCACTTTTTGCCACAAATATATCCAGTTGTCCTAACATTGGTTGAAAAGATTATCCTTTCCCTATTCAATTACCTTGGCATCTTTGTCAAAAATCAGTTAGCCATATGTGTGTGTCTACTTCTGGACTCTACTGTGTCCAATGGTCCATGTCTATCTACCCTTATCACAATGTAACACCTTGTTGCCTAAGAATACGAAGATTTTTATAAATAGTGCAAGTTCTCTAATTTTTTTCAAATTGTTTTGGCTATTCTAGGTTATTTGCATTTACATACATGTTTTATAATCAGCTAGTTTATAAAAAAGACTGCCAGAATTTTGAGTTGATTTTTACATCAATTTAGGGACAATTTACATTTGCAAAAAAATTGAGTTTTCCAATTCACAGTTATGGTTTATCTCCCCACTGGATTTTTTTGATTTCTTAGCAATTTCTGTACTTTTCATTGGACAAGTCTCACACAAATTTTGATATATTTTCCTCTAATTACTTCATTTTTTAAACTACTACTGTAGATGGTAGCTTTTAAATTTCAATTTCCAATTATTTGTTGCTAGCATGTAGAAATTACATTGAATTTTATATATTGACCTTGTACCTGACCTCACTAAGGTAATTCTAGGTTTTTTTAAAAAAATCTACTCTTTAGGATTTTCAGCATGTTTGATGTCTTCTGCAGATTTTATTTCCTCCAATATTCATGCTTTTCCTTTCCTTATCTGCAGGTAGGATCTTCAGTATAGTGTTGACTAGAAATGGTGACAAGGTATCTTTTTTCCCCCAAATCTTAAGAGGGAAAACAAACCATTGTGTATGATGTTAGCTGTAGTTGTTCATAGTCTTCATCAAGTTAAGAAAGCTCCCTTCTAATTCTAGCTTGCTCAGAGATTTTATCACAGATGGATGTTGAATTTTGTTGTACACTTTTCCTCCATCTATTGAGATGATATTTTTTCCCCCTGTGTATTCTGGTGTAATTTGGTGAATTACACTGAATTTTTAAACTGTTCTAGTAATTCATTTTTTTTAAAGTTTTAATTGTGGTAAAATACACATAAAATTTACCACCTTAGCCATGCTTAAGTATACAGTTAGGGTGTTAAGCATATTCATTGCTGTGACCAATCGTCAGAACTTTTTCACCTTGTAAAACTGAAACTTTCTATCCATTAAACAACTCCTCATCTCCCCTTTCCCTCATTAATTCACTTTTTATTTTATAAGAGTTTCACTCTGTAACGATGGAAATAAAGAAATGGTCCTTCACCACATAAAGTTTTAAAAGTATTGTTCGAAATCAGTTTGCAAGTAGTAAAAAGCCTTTTAAACATGTGTTTATTAGCTAGCAAATTAAGCTTTAAAGTTGTACACAAAAATATGTGTCTTAGGAGAACAAATATGACTCCTGATTCCCTAAGTGATGATTTTCATCACTTCAAACTGGATAAAATTAGATTGATGCTTTTCACACAGACTATTTCGTTTCAAAGCTTGTCAGTCAAATTTGATCACTGCTTGACCATAAACAAAAGCCTAAGCCAGGGTTTTCTTCCTGTCCGCTTTGACTCTTCTATACTCTGGTCCTGGCCGACGCATCCTAGTATTACTCAGCCAACGTGGATAGGTAATTTTTTGTAATTAAAAAAAAAAAAGTTTTAATAATTTTTATTTTAACAATCATGGACTTGCTTTTTGACAAGTACTCAGTGTTCCCATTTTTTCTGTGGCTATTCTGAAACACTTCAACTTTGTGGATGGGATTTCATTTCTTAAAAAGACTAAACTAATACCTAATTTTACTCCAGTGAAATCTGTTCTTCTCAAATTGATAGTTTCTAAGTATACAGGAAACACATGTATAACACATCAGATGTGGACTGTCATATTTTTATCCAACCTACTATCCCAGGAATTTGAGACCATTTGCATACAGGGAAAAATTTCTAAAAAACACCAAAATATACTGTGTAATAGTTTTATTTTTCTCATTTTACTATTTTTACATTTTATGCACAAATATTTTTTATCTGAGTAAAAATAGAAAATAACTGTTTTATGTAAAATTACAAAAAAATAAAAACCACAAAGAAATACGTAATTGTTATTATGACAGTATAAGTGTCTTTATTTAAAGAGTAAAAATGTATGCAAAAATCCTCCTCCCTCTTACAAAAGATTGAGAATATTTTTTTCTGGCAGCAAGTGAAATATTACTGAAATATCAATATTTTTATATTCTCTAGATATGAAGACATTAAGTAAGTCACAGGTTGTTCTGAAATTATGAATTTTAAAACATTTTTTGTGCTATTTCAAAGATACATTAGTTTTAAAAGGCAGTAGCATAAATGATGAATATGAAAAACAGCAGACCTCATCAAAAATACTCAGAGGCACAACCTTTAAAGAAATACTGTACTTGAGTTTCACCATTTATCAGGGGAGAAAAACAACTCAACAGTTTTTCCTAGTTCACTGACATGGATCGTTACAAAGACGAATGTGGTGAGTCGATTCATGTGATGATAAACCACACAGCAATTCTGCCTAATTCGTTTGATATTCTGATGCCAACATGAATTTCCAAACGTAAGGCTAGTAAGACAGGTATGAAAGTTGGCTCACTTGAGACTCTCGTGTGGGGAAAAAAAAGTTTTAAAGCAAAAATGAACAGTTCATTATTATTGTACTTACATGGTATAGAAAGATGACCAATAATTTTATTCTTCCTTTGAATATACTACAAATTCTCTTATGAAAGTTCATTCATAAAAATGGAGCAAAGAATGAAAAGCATGAACTGTATTTTCTTTCACAACCCAAGCTATCTTTTAATAAAAGAAGACTCCTTGGCTTCCTGATCATTGTAATCTCAGTAAGGACAATGGAAATAGTTTATATGTAAGTTGAGGCAAAGTAACCGGTTTCTTGAAACAATTAGAGAAAGTGATCTCATTACTTTACCTGTATTACGGTTCATAAAAATAATGATGAGAGGCAAAGAAGAAAAAAGAAACAGCACCTGATCATGCATGAGAACTGTCTCTGTTCAAATGATAATGAGGAATAAAATTAAAACTGCAAAAGGAAGAAAATGGACAGAATGTGTTCTTTTAGAAAAGGTGTCTGAGGAATGCTTAAAGGAAAAAAGACGTAACAGTTTGATCTTAGGGATCAAAAACAAATATGGATGTTTCTTGCCTTAAAAATACACATACATGTAGTTGAGACAAAACAGAGGTATGTCATCTTGGCTAAAACTTTAACGTAATGTCTCCCCCAAAGCATTTTAAATCCAAAAGTCAATAATTTTAAGTTCTTGATAATACACCAGTAGACTTTTTTTTTTAAACTGTAAGTAACTTGTCAACTTCCCAGGCCATAAAAGGATGGTGCAAAACCTTCTTTTCAGCTACCTATTTGTTATCTGAAACTAGAACTTCTATATATTACTTCGTACTGCTATTCTACTCAGATACTCTTGCAATCATAGCATCCAACTTAAACTAGTACTTTGCCAGTTTATTCTGTGTGTTTACATAAAGGTAAAAATGGAAATTATACCTTTTTTTTCTTTTTGGATTCTACTGCAAGGTCTTAAAAGAGTTAGTCTTAACACAGTAATAGAAATGGGCTGACATTACATGTGGTTGCAGTCCTACACCGTAACACTTAATATTATGACGAGGTGACCAGAAAAGGAGGGCATAGATTCCTTCCTCTCCTCCTCGCTCCTGACATCCCTGCCTCCTAAAGTTCCTTCCAAACCACTACCTAGTACTGGCGACAGCAACTACGAACAACGCCACTCTGCCTGCATCACCACAGCCCTTTCCTCCTCGTTAGTCAAAAGCATTAAATGAGCTCTTCTCATAAAGCTGTTTAGGGGGATGGATTTGATGAGGGAGAAGGTACATAAAGTAATACTTGAGAATCAATCTTCTGCTATAAGAGGATTAAAAGCTATTTGTCAGTATCTCATATCATGATTCGTGCATAACACCTTAAAAATGAAAAGAAAAAAAAGGAAGCAAGGAAACCAAGTAAAGCAAGCAAGCGAAAAAGAAAGGCATCTAGCCATTTCTGTTTAGCGTTGGCTGGTGGTTAAGTGAAGTTTCATGTTTTTAAGAATTATTTACTTTTTAAAGAATTTTTGACATGAATTATTATCTTTTGAAGTATCTTTCCTTTTGAATGTCATTATGTCTTCATTTATATGTGTGTACATGTATATATATATATATATTTATATATATAAGATGGTCAATTGGACATGTACATACATATCCATACACTCCCACATATATAATATTCATAAGGAAAAATCAAATGGAAAATTTTGTTTTAAGAGAGAACTGCCTATACTGGAGGTCAAAATCTCCTTTTAAAACTATGTGCAAGTAATTCACAAATGTCTTGAAAGGTAAACTACTGCTGACTGATTTAAAGTCTTCATTTCATCAGAAACACAAGACTGTATAAGCTGTTTGGTACAACAAACCAGCACTACAGCGTAATTAAAAAAAAAAAAAAAAAGAAGCCATATCAAACCAAACTAAACTTTTATTTTCTGGTTGAGGTATACTTTTTCAGTTTTTTAAATCTCTGACAGGAAAAACAGAGATCATTTTAGAATTTTTGTAGTAGTTGGTTTATTAGAATTTAATGCCTCTCTTATAATAATTTAAATTCTTGGCCTGACATTATGAATAATCTATACAGTAAGTCCTTAAAATTGGCTTGAGTAAAGCCATACTTAAACCTGGATCTCCTTCTTCGGCACTGCTCTTCTGCCAGTGTGTTTATTGTCCTTTGCTTGCAAATATATAAATTACTTTAATAACGTGATACTCTTAGTTTAGTAATTTATTAATATTATAATTTTATTTGATATGACTACTTTAGCTCTGCTTAATTAGATGAAACAGGCATACATGCTTTAGCTGTGAAAAGTTCCATTTTCTGGTTCTATGTAAAGCAACATCTAAAGCAGCAGAGAGGGGAAACAGTTAACATTTTCAAAAGTAGTTAAGCCAGACTGTTTCCTGGAGATACTTCATTTATTTCCCATCCTCGAAGCTACTGGCTGTTTTTGGTAGGGCTAGACATTAATACTGACCACTGTAGCTTTCCTGACTGTTAACAAACTACCCCACAATGAACCTGCCTAAAGACACTGTGGGGATCCTTTAACATGTACACATTTTCTAAAATATATGCTCAAAGTAAAAAGATCCAAATTCACAAGAGTATGAAATATTTATAAAAAAATCATGCATGTACAGTCTAGAAATAAAAGAAGATTCAAATTCAGTAATAAAGGTAAGAGCAATACTTGCTCTAATATTTAAGAAAAACCTTGGACTCCCAGAACGTCCTGGGCTCAGTTATCCTTTTCTGTTTGCAGAGACGCAGTAGCCAGGGCCACTGCTGTGACTGGCTGGGCAATCCCATGGAGCTGCATCTTCGCAAGTTTCTTCTGTTCACATTCTGTGACCAAACGGTTCAACTCTGCTGCACTGTATCCTATAAGAGTCTTCAAGTCACAGACAAACTTGTATACAAATCTCTTGCCTTGAACTTTACAAATCATGTCCCCATCGTAATAGTACCTTTAAAAAGAGAAAAACACACTAGGACTATATAAAAAAATGTGGGCTTCTTGCAATATTTGTTTGTGTTAGACTATTCCATAAGCAGAAGCCTAGGAGAGTATGAAAGCTATCACAAGGGCAATTAACATTAAATGTTTCTACATAACTTCAGTGTTACTACCAGAGGAAACTTCAAAGCATTATTAGCTAAACTCTTAATGCTAAGTACTCCAAAAATTTTATATGCTAAATCTTCAAAGTTTATCTTCAACAATTATGATAAAACGTTGATTTAAAAATAAACACCATTAAGCAAAACAAAAAACCCTGCAAGCAGTAATAGAATCTGAGAACACAAGCTTTGAATCAGAACGCCAAGATTCAAAACCTAACATCTCAACTTACCACCCTTTGTGACCACGGGAAAGCCATATTTTCTCTAAGCTTTTATTTCTCATTTAAAAAGTGAGGTTAAAACAGTACTAACCCTCATAGAATTGCTGAAGATTAGAAAGATTATCTCTGTAAAGTGTGTATTAGCACACAATGACTGGCACATATAGCCCTCTATAAAACAGAAACCATGTTGGTAACTAAGAATTCACATAGATATGAAGAAAACTTTAACACACATATTCTTTGGGTTGTTGGAATGTCCACTTCTTCTCTGTCTTGGACAAAATCCTTTATTATGTAGCCATGCCTTCACCTTTATCATTTTAATATGTAAAGACTTTCCTTCCAGAGAAATTCTCCAAAGCAATAGGGAGCCTCAAAAGTATACGCAAAAGGGCTAAAAAAAAAAAAAAAAAGAGCGAGGATACGGAAAAACAGGAGAGAGGACATCATAAAGAAACAATGCTTCTAAACCTACACAGGTTCATCTGGGGAAAGCACTCCAGACGTCTGGGTTACTGCTGCTTTCTATGGCGACAGAAACGGAACTGGATTTATACTTACTCTGGAAAACAGACTTTATTTACCTCTATGCCTGGCCAATTCCAAAAGCAGGGAAAAAAAGAAACCTTCCTGGGCTGGCAGATTGTGAAGCTTTTATTGTAAAACTGCACTGCCCATTTGCACCCATTTGACAAAGTGCTGTTACAAAAGAAACAACTATTTTCAAAAGTACCAGTAATATAACCTACCACATTTAGCAGACTTTTAATATAAAAGTCATTTTAACCCAAAATCCATTAATGAAAAGACTATATGCAAGAAATTATGCCACCTTTCCTTAATTCTCGAACAACTGAAGTATAATGGTTATGCTCACCTTCCCAGTAAGAGATGTAACACAGTCTTGTGTCTCCTTTTTTGACAATTACATTAATACAGAATTTAGATCTCAACCCACAAACCACCAACTGCTTGTCATCCGGTAAAAATGCTGCAGGCATTTCAATTTCTTAGGAAAATTTCTACATAATATGTAAGGCTGTTACAGACACTTGGGAAGAAGGGAAAATGAAGAAGGAAAGGGGTTTCATATTTCTAGGAGGAGAACGGAATTGGTATAATCTTGTTTCTTGGTAAGATGTTACAAAAAACACACACACCTAAGGTTTAATTTCAATTAACACAAGTTCACTTAATCCTTCCTTCAATCTAGCAGACGGATCACATGACAGCATGTAACAGCACTCACTGCAACTGTCCCCTCTCTGAAATGAAGAAAGCAGAAAGGTCCGCAGTACCTATGTTTTCATGAACATGATTTCTTCCCTCTTTTTCCAAAAAACCTTTTAAATTGCGAAATCCCAAACAGAAAGGACATAAAGTGAACAGCTCAGTGATGTATCACAAAGTGAATATTCACCTGTTAACTATGACTCAGTCAGGAAACAGAACACTGTCAGCACCCCAGAACCCCTCCACGGCCCCTCCCAATCATCATCCCTCCCTTGCTCTAAAACGTTAACACAATCCTTTCATGATAATGAGTTCACTGCTCTTTTTCATACTCTTATCACCCAAACATGCATCCATAAATGCTGTAATCTAGTTTTCTTGGTTTTTTAACTCCACTATATAAATGCATTCATCCAGTTATACTCTTTTGTCTCTGGAATTTTTCACTGAACATTATGATTGTGAGGTTCACCCACATCGGTCCACTTTCACGGGTACACTGTATTCTCCTGTATAGCACAGTTTATTTATTCACTCTACTCTTGATAGACATTTGGGTAGCTTCCACTTTGGGGATGTTACAGATAATGCTGCTATGAGCATGCATGTGGACATATGTGTACATTTTTGTTTGCTAACACTTAGAAGAGAAAAACCTGGATTACTGGTCACAGATTACATTCCTATCAAAAGTGTAGAAGCATTCGAACTGCTCCATGTCACCAACACTTGGTACTGGCAATTACTTTGATTTTAGCCATTCTGGGATGTGTACTGTGCCATTACATTGCGGTTTTAAAATTCATTTCCCTGATCACTAATGAGATTGTGCACTACTGCATATATCCACTGGTCATTTGGATGATCTCTAAAATTGTCTACTAAGTGTCTTTTGCCCATCTTTTCTAATTCTCGTATGGCTCTGTAAGAGTTCTTTAGATATCCCAGATCAGAGTCTTACGTCCGGTATGTATGGCTTGCCTTTCAATCTCTTGATGGCTGCTTCTGATGACCAGAAGTTTTTAATTTAAATGTAGTCCAGTTTATTTATCTTTTCCATTAGGTTAGTGCTTTTGCTTCAGTTTAAAGTCTTTTTCTCGCCTACCAAAGTCATGGAGGTATCTCTAGAAGCTTTCCTGTTACCACCTTTCACATAAGCTACGTGGGACTGGTTCTTAGTATGCTATGAGGAAGGGGTCAATATGGACAGTCAACCGTCCCAGCACTACTGATTGAAAAGCAGGTCTTCTCCCCACTGCTATCTTTAAGTCAAATGTCCCTATGTTCTTGGTTTTATTTGGACTATCTCATCTGTGGTCTATTTGTCCATCCTAAGCAAGCAGCACACTGTCTTACTGTAGTAGCTTTACAGTGAGTTTCAATATCCTGTGAAGCAAGTCTTCCCACTTTATCTTCTTCAGGTGTCCTGGTTATTGTGATACTTTATATTCCTCTATAAATTTTATAATTGTCTTGGCAAGTTCTATGAAAAAACTTATTCAGGAAGTTACTGCACTGAAATTTAGGCCAATCTAGGGAAAAGTGACATCTTAATTATTAACTCTAATAATTCATCTGTAATTTTGAGGGGGCTTGAATGTACACAATTACATCAACTGTCAAAAATGACAGTTTTAATTCTGATTATACAGAAAGGATCTTTAGACAGTTGGCAAAGTGTTTGAGATTGAATAAGTGATAAGCACATTGAAAATAAAGCATTAGTTATTTACGTATGCTAAGAAAAACACATGGTCACTCTGGAAAAGGAAAATATTCATGATAAACTATGTTATCATACTTACACGGCCATGATCCTGTAACAATGAACACTGTTCTAACCAACACTTCTGCGTAACTATATAGTTATATAATTGAACTGGGATGAAGAGATGGAAAGTGTGTTTGTGTGTGTCATGATGAGAGGTAAATCATGATCTCTCAGTGTGAAATTCACAATGAGGAATCAAGTGAAACACGAGGCAGCAGTAAATGCATGTTATTTAGAAATACAGTACAGAACTGTCTTATGAAATCTTAGCAAACTCTTCCAAAAAACAGACACAATTCCTATATATTCTACTTCTCAGAAGCTTAAGTGCACATACTGAATTTCCATCACTATAGTAGGCATAACTTCTGACAGTAATTATGTCAAAAAATTTCACACCACTATGAGAAATAACCAATAATTATTCTATTCCAACTCAACCAATGTAAAGGTTGGATATTCAAATTTAGGCAGACTGTAGAAGAAGAAAAAACAGGGAAATGGGTTAATATTTTGCAATTATAAAAACTGACAAAATCTGTGTATTTGCTAGAATTTACACTCACTCAATTCACCTGTGCCAAATGACAGCATTTCTGTTATGCACATAACACAAACCTCAAAGGTTAAATATGTTGGCTTTAAACAGAGTAGTATAAGCTTTTAAATCAGATAAAAACAAGTAATCTTAGAATCATTAAAAAGATTTTGTGTACCTCAAATTACTACTAAAAATCTTTTTAAGAAATAATTTTTAACATAAGTGTAAAAAATTTTAGCAAAAAAAAGCTGGAAACAACATTTATGAACAAGTCAAATATTTTAACATCATTCCAGAACAACGATTATGCCTAGAAGCAGCAGCCATTTTAACGAACGTATGATACTTAAAAAAAAAAAGTAATAAACGCTTACCTTAACGCACGACTAAGTTTCTCATAGTTCATTGTAGGTTTATTTTTACGTTGTCCCCATTTTTGTGCAACCAGTTCAGGCTGATTTAGCTTAAATTCTCCTTCATCACCAACCCAAGAAATGCAGTCTCGAGCATCCTTGTCAGTAAGAAGTTCTAGCAAAAACTGCCACAGCTGGATTTGGCCGTTGTTCCCTAAACAATTGACAAGAATGACAGGTACTGACCACAGTGCTATGGATGAATGGAAGGTCAAAGGCAAACACAGGGTCTCTGGGTCATCTCTCAGCCACACTCAAAACACAGATGTTCGTTACAAATGCCATGTAAGCACTGCCAGAGTAACAGTCCATATTTACATTTTTTTTATGCAGCGAAATAAAACAAAACGTATGTAACACATACCAGATGATAATGCACAAGTACCTGTCCTGTTCCCAGGAGAACTTCGATCTTCCCCTGAAATCCTCGGAGCTCTCTGTACTTTAGCTGCCTTTGCACTACTGTTTATAGCTTTAATGGCAGTTGGTGTAGCCGACTGCACTGATGCTGGAATAATTTGCACAGCTGCAAAGAAAGACAAGGGAAAAAAATCATTTTTCCTCCTTCCAATACAAGCAGTGAAAAGAAATTACTGAAAGAAATAAAACGCAATTAGTTTAATTAATACCCTTCTATTTACCTGAACAAAAGTTTAGGGGATAAGGTATAATGTTTGCATGACAGTTTATGAACCTTAACTCAGTGAATAAAAGGTGGTCTCCTTATTTTAGAAAAACTTAGTGATGTATATATGTTAGATAAAGTTATAAAAACATTTATTTTTAAAAAATACTTGTTCATAAAAAATGGTCTATCAAATTTTGGAGAATGTGGACAAATGAGAATTCATATTCCACTGCTAATAAGAGTACAAACATACCACTTGAGAAAAACTTTGGTAATATCTAGTAAGGTCGAAAGGGTAGAAACTCTATGATATTACCAGCAGAGAATCTCACACACATTCTTACAAGTACTCATTTAATGACATTCACAAAGTTTTAAGAATAGTACACACAGCAGTAAAAATGAATAGAATTGAGCTGCATGTATTAACATGGGTCTCATAAATGTTAAACAAAAAAGCAAGTTATAAAAGGATAGGCAATTATTATTTTACCCCAAAAATATAAAAATATGTTAAACAATGCTATAAAGTGTTTATGGTTACATAGTTGGTAAAAATATAAAATATGCACAGAATAATAAACATCAAGTTCAGGACATTTAAAATGGATCTGCAACAGGAAGATAAATAAAATTTTCTCTCTTACAGTGCACATAGATGTTGGTTATACTTTATTTCTTTGTGTATCTAAAATACTTCATATAAAATTTAAAAATCATTTTTTTTTTTACTATCTTGCAGTACTAAATAGAGAAAACATTTCTTATTGATAAAAGAGCCACATTTTATGGGCACAAGAATACTCACGTTGATCGATTGTAACTATCTCATTCATCTGTTGTTCTTGGCTTGCCAATACATCTGAAGAACAAACATAAAAACTTTTATTTTCATTTAAAACCAGAAATGCAAACTCCAATCCAGTAAAATTTAACTTAATAAAAGAAATTTCACAATTAAAAACCAAACAAATAAAAAAACCCAAAATATCAAATAATTGAAACTTATTGGCATAATAACCTAAAAAATACTTGACAGTCATTTTATACAGAAAAGATATTTTTAAGAGAAGTAACAGAGGGAAAGCTCCAATTTCTTCTAAGGTTCAGAAAAGTTATTCAAAGAACTAAATGTAAATATCTATATCTAAATCTATTTTTTATCTACATAAAATCATGTAAAACAGGTTTACATGATTTTATGTAATCATAAAATTATGATTTTCAAGATCAGATCAAAGATGAGAATATACACCACATTGAAATTATTTAGATATACATTCTTCATCAAAAAGTCTCCCTCAAAATGATTGGAGAGATAGTCAAAATTTACTGATCTAACATGTTTTTGAATAAAACTGTTTTAACTTTATAATGCTTCTTCTAAAAGATAGCTAAATTTTCATTAAAACTAGCTGTCCTCAATGTCACATCTGAACTAAATAAGTTAACATGTCTACAAATACAGCTCTCAACATAAGAGTTACAGTGTAAAAGGTCCTAACAAAACTCTTTGGAGAAACTTTCATTACTCATCTGTTGCTGTTCCCTATTCAAATGCTACTCTTTACCTCTCAGACAAGTTACACTTCCCAGTCTATATCCTTCAGTCTATTTAGTGCCCATCACAGATTGGATGCTTCTCTCTTGAACTGAAACTGTACCCAGCAGTCATCTGTGTACTGAGTGAGTCCTGGGGCCTGGGCTCCCACCACAGTTCTACTTGGGGGTCTTGAGTTTAGGAATTTAAACAATTGTATAGGACTACCCCCAGACAGATCTGGGTTATGATCTTAGCACTCACTGGCTGTGCTGACTAAGGAAAACTATTCAACCAACTTGAACACTGATTTCCTCATTTTTAAATGAGATACCCTCATCTACCACTTCATGAGACTGTTGCGAGGATTACAGGAAAATGTTTTTAAGAGGCACAATGCCTAAAACACAGTTAACTTTCCAGTATATTAAAGACACTATTCATTTACCCAGATTCCTAGTTCTGAGCATTCTTCCCAAGAACACTTCTCCCTCTCGAAGAAAAATCCATGCTTTGTATTTGTGACACATTTCTCCCAAAATTTTATAAGAGTGTCCTGAAGAGGCAAAGTGCTATTGAAAATGAAACTGTTTCATTCGTGACTGTAAATGAACACAGCGCCCTAGCCTAAAAAGAGGCAGGAGCAAGTCCTCGCCACACAGCACAGGTGTTACCAACCTGTAAGATCAGCTTCTCAGCCCTGATTTTCAGAATGGAGTTTGGTTTGTTTCCTGGGAACTCTCCAGATGGAAGGCAGAACACAGAAAGAGAGGGCTTTTCGAAAGGCTGGCCCAAGACCATACAGGCCCCTCTAAACATCATGCTCCTTTGTGGCCCTCACAGTCCAGCCACACACAAGGGCAGCAGAACCCAAGAGGCAAAGCCCTGGGAGATACCTAGAGATAGAGCACCATCTGCTCAGGACTGCTTCTCCCTGCTAGATCGCTGAGGAACAGACAACAGATGCCGGCTTAATAAATGACTTTCAGAAATATGTTGTAGACTTCATTCTACAAGAGGGGCCAGAGACGCAGACTGTGTTCATAGGAGCCTGTCTGAGAAAGTTAAGACTTGAGAATTAGAGAAAGTCTGTCAGAAGCAGCCTTACACACTAGCCTACCCGCTCCCAGTCTGAACTGAGCACTGGATCCCCACACCAGATGGGACTTCCTTGCCGGGCAGAGCAAAGACCCACGGCCAGATAAGCAAGGAGTTCCCGGAGATACTCATCTAGCTCTGGGGCTTTGTTACTTCTGAATACAAGACAATTCCAGGGCAGAGTATTCTTGAAGAAGACCAATTCTACTGCAAGGACGTGGAACGACACACAAGGTTCCTCCGCCCCCTGTGCCGGAAAGGTCTCTGAATGAGCTTTAATGCTTGAGAAGCACTAGGAAAACCAGAAAGAGACAACCGACAAACTGCTGGCCTGGGAGAGACAGAGAATACCATGGATTTGAGAAAAACTGAACTGTAGTCTAAACACTGTCCTTGTTCTATTCTTGAGAGTTCCTATAAGAAAATGTTTCAGTAAACGTGACTCACGTTAAGAATCTGAAACAATTCAGTTTACCTTCCTCATCTGAGAAGCTCTGCAGAGAAGAAAACCTGTGAAGCCAAGGACAAACCAACCTTCAACCACAGCATTCAACCTGCTATCTAACAGGAACTGAAACTGGAAATAAACCCTGTAAATGGAATGATTGTAATAATTTTTTAGATACTTTTTCCCTCCTAATATTTCAGAGAACCAACACAAGAGAGATACTACCAATGAAAACAATGAAGTAAAGCCTCTCCACAGAGCTCGTTTCTTACTCAACAGCAGAGAATGCACCCTGGATCAACGACTGTGAAAAATCCCTCCACCAGAGCTGTCCCCTCATCGGTACACAGCAGAGAAAATGCTACCAGTTACATCTTTACCCATAACCATTAGAAGAACAGTGTCCTGTTTACACTTTCTTAAAAACATGTGAACTTGGCTAGCACAGCTGATTTATGTAATAATGTTAGGAAGTGGGTCACTGCTAGGATACTTTAACAGTCACTGAAATTTAAGACAGATTAAAACTCAAAAGAAAATAACTTATATTTGAACTCTTTCTGTTGGACAGTCAAGTGGTTTCTAATTTCTCTAGTCACTTAATCATGTCTGTGGAGCAACACGGGAACATGATAACTTCCAATTCAAGATGGCCGGCTGCATACTTACACTTTCCCCTTTTCCCTTAAGATCCATTCAATCAAAAGATATTTTAAAAGAATTAACCCCAGTAATGAAGACAATGAGAGGGAAGCCATCTGTGAATAGATAATCTTAAACTTCTAGAAGATGAGCATAAATGGAAGAACTGGCTGGTGAAACAAAAGTCAACAAGCAGAGTATGTGACCAGAGCTAAGTGCAGGGTACAGAATCTTACTTAAGAACTCGGATTCCAGTGTTGGTCAGCTTAGGTTTGAATTCCGGCTCTGTCACTCCCTAGTCCTATAACACTGTGAGGGCTTTCTAAGCCTCAGTTTCTTATCTAAAAAAATAAGGGAAGTAATGCTCTGTGGCATTAGTACAGGACTAAATAATACATACAAAGCTCTCAGCACAGCCTCACACAGTCAATACATGTTAATTATTACTGCTATTATCAATGAACAAGATGAAAACAAAGTTATAAAGAAATTCAGTTACACTTAAGTTACAATGCAAATAGATAATAATTTCAATTTTATACATTTTCGAAGAAGTTCCAGATGACTCCAGAGAATTTCTCCCCGAGGGACCCGCTGAAAAAAATCTTCTTGGTTGAGGCTACATAGTTCTCTTCCAGAAATATTCAGTGTAGCGAGGTCGATGTCGGTCATGCTGAATTCCTTCATTACCCAAACCACCCAATGCAGGACTTGGTCTGTGGACCACTGTATGGGATCTATAAAGAGAAAAATACTATGATTGGTCCAATTGCATCTTAAGATATTATGTAAACTTACAGTTAACTTGTCAACACACATACATAGATAAAACCCAACAAGTTTTTTTTAACTCCCAAGTAAGTGAAGTAAATAAATTCATTATATGAACTAAAAAGATATTTATGCTCTATTTTCTCCCTAGCTCCTTTTCAATTTCTTAATCTAAATTTTTGATGGATTCATTTGTTTCTATCAGTTAGTCCAGAATATTATCAAAAAAAAAACAAAATGCAAAACTGCCCTCCAGTGGGCCAAATGCAAGAATAAAATACATACTTAATCCTAGAGAAAATGGAATAAGTTATTCAAGTTTTAAAAATTATTTTGTAGTACTGTATATATGATGCACTGAAAAAAACTATAAGGGGTTTCTGAGGAGCTAGACTTATTTCCAGAATATAAACAATGTAATCTTTCCTCACTTCTGCTTCTTGTAAAAAGCTAGATGCTCCTTCACTTACCCGTTCGGTGGCACTTACAATAAGCTAATCGTACGTTTACTCAACTGTCTTTCCCCTATAAAATCTTTAGGTCTTAAATACAAGGACTGTGTCTTATAAGCCTGTGTATTATAAGGACTGTTTTAAATATGAGGACTGTGTCTTCAGAGCTTACCACAGTGCATACATTTGTTGAATACATAAAAGATGAATCCAAATAGTTTCATTTTCCTCATTATTTTTTTACTATCAAATGAATTCACAAACGATAAAGATGGCCAACATGTATAAATATTATTGTATCCCTGGAACCTAACAGTGCATTCTACTCATAGAATTTTAATAAATACTAACTGAATTAATTTTGGTATAGGTACTTCTGCTTGGAGAAGATAATCTATCCAAATAACTGGTTATACACTCCTAAGATACATGTTATTCAATAAGAAAACAGGTGGGAAAAATAACTTTCAGGTACTTATCAAGGGCCAATTTATAGGAAAAATGAATCAAATATAAGAAGACAGAATTGACAGCCACAGAACTGATTTTTTTATTTGATTTTTTTCACAAAGAAGTTAAGGGAAGAGGATTTTGAAGATGGCAGCCATTTTTTTTTAATTTCCCTGAATGCACACATTAAAAAAAAAAACAAAACACTAACAACAACTAGAGAGCAAAACCAGAAATCCATGGACATTTACAATAAATCAGGTGAAGTGGGATCTCCATGGAACCCAAAATACACACAGGTAAAGACAAAGCAGTAACAGCCACAAGAGCTATGTGTATCAGCATCTGAACAGGAGAGAGTGAAGAGGAAAACAAAGGGACATCTGACGCATTCTCCATCCTGGGCCTGGGAAACCTCAACACAGCCAGGAAGTATTGCTTGAAAGCACAACAGGTCAAGCTGAAAGGAGCAGCTCAAAGTAGGTTAGCCCAACACAGCAGCAGTGGATACTGAGTCCATAGTAGCTGTAAAGGGGCTGGAACCATGTACTTGTGAGTTTTTTAAACTAAGCCAAGATCACTCCCAGGAGAGGGGAACACAATTAGCAGAAACTGGTGGGAGGGAAATCAAAGTTGAGCAGTATAGGAACACCCGGGAAAGGGACAGGGAAAGAGGAGGTCCAGATACAAGTGGAGTAAGGGACAGGCAAGAACCGAGAAAGCAAGAGGCTCTACTTTTGAATACAAGTCAGAAACAGCAGAAGGAGTTCTGGAAAGTTAGAAAAGCGTCTATCCAGCAGGGAGGGTAGAGCTCAAGTGGTAGAGCAATGCTTAGCATGCACAAGGTCCTGTGTTCAATCCCCAGTACCTCCTCTAAAAATAAATTAACCTAATTACCTCCTCCCTGCAAAATAAACAAATTAAAAATTTATAAAAAGGAATTTAAGAAAAAAAAAAAAAGAAAAAAGCAAAGCTACCTATCCTGAGCCACACTTCAAAGTTCAAGTCAGTGTGTTTTACATAAACAAAGAAGTATCAAGATCAAAAAGTTAGGGGAAAATAGTACTCATCTGTCTTACTTTCTTACGTAGTATCAGGAGTTCTGGTTTAACATAACTAATTGCCATGCATGTTGTCCCTGACTCTTTGCTCTAAGTCCCTAGTAAAATGACAGTGAAGACACTTCTGAAAAATGTAAACTCATAGGAACATGAGTGGGAAATGACAGAAATGGATAAGACGGCAAGCAGCTTTTTGGAAGACAATAAGCAAAGTAAAAAATCAAGTGGAATAAAAGCAGCTATGACCTAATAGCCATCACGGAGGAAACCAGTAAGGAGCTAGAGCGTTCCTGCCTCTGGAGTTTCTACTGACTCAGGTCACGGTGGTTCCAGGTTGTAGGAGGTTTAAGTGGAGAACGAGGAGATTAATTTAAAGTCTACAGTGTGGTTAGAAGCCCCAGGGCCTCTCCTTCATTCTCAGGAGCCAACTGAATGGAAGCACCCTCTACATGTGGACACTAGGAACACATCAGATCAGGGAAGATATGAAGCAGATACTGAAATAATTTCTTAATACATTTGTATTTCCAGCACCATTATGTGTTATAGTCCAAAAAAAAAGATACATGAAAAATTAATATATTTCCTAAAAATTCTACATTGAAAAGAGATAACTCACTCACCCTAGTGTCTTCTATGTGAAGCTTAATTCTGTTTATCCTACCTAACATCATTATTTTGCATTTGATTACCGTAGGGTATCCCAAGACGCTCCTGCTCTTTCCTGTAACCTTCCAGGGCGGCAGCCCATCTCGTCACTTGTTCTGAGGTTTCATCGGAAATGGTTGTAATGTGCTTTGTGCCATCAAGAGTTATCACTTGAGCTTCCTCAACAAGATGTGCTTCTGCTTCAGCATGGTGGGCATCTGGATCAATAACCACTTCAACTGTTTCCGCAGGTTTAACAATTTCCAGGATGTTTAACTTTGGTTCAATTCCTTAACAGTGATTTATCAAAAGGATAAGAAAAGCAAAAACATGAAAGTCACTAACAAATTAAAATTTAGTTTACTTTATATGTTCTCTAATGGTAGAGCAAAACTCAATTTTAAATATTTTTTAGCATTATGTCTAGAGAACTTAACAGATTTCTATTAAAGGATAAAAACAAAAATTCAACAGAACTTTGGTAGATTAAAAAAATTACTGTATCAATATTAATTTCCTGATTTTGATAACTGAACTGTGGTCATGTAAAAAGAATTCTTGTTTTTGGAAAACACACATACTAATGTATTTAAAGATAGAAAGGAATCATGTCTACATCTTACTCTTAAACAGGTCAAAAAAAATGTGGGGATGAGGGAGAGAAAGAATAAAACAAAAGTAATAAAATTTTACATTTGTAGAATCTGGGTAAAGAATATCCAGGAATTTTTACTACACTTGCAACTCTTCCGCAAGTCTAAAATAATTTAAGACCAGCACCCCCACCCCCTCATCCTCACACATACACCCAACGTACAAATATTAAACTAAACTAGGGAGAGTACAAATGAGTAGCTATCCATCCTCAGAACTTTAAGTCTTTCTAAGCAAATTATTTACTGACTGCTTTTAGAAGACAAAGTGTATGTTTTAAAAATAAACAGACACTGAGTGTGTTAAATTCACATCATTAAATTCTGATTTTCATTTTCAACTGAATAAAGAAAAACCCAAATACTTAAGATATTCAAAACATAATAGCCCTTTATGAAATGATCTCAGATACTTATGTTAAATGACAGCTCTAAGGAACTATCAGACTACTTAACAGCTACTGTTTACTGTTCAGTTACAATCTATATCAAAATTCAATCAAAGTACATTTGAAAGAAAAAACAAAACTCAGTTTCAGTATCATGAAATTCTATCGTGAAACCAATTCAATCATGAAAACCAGTATTATAAGAAAATATACTGCTATCACCCATTAGGTGGTATAAACAGAAGTCACTTTTTCAAATATACATGAGAAGAAAATCATAATTTTTGAAAAGAATTTTTCCTAAAATTTATCCCCTAATCTTCCATTCAAATTTTATGAAGTCAACTTCTTAAACACGCCTGCACTGAGAGATAACCATGCTTTTAAAAATAAAAAAAGACTGATTTTCTTTTCTATTCCCAACAATAGTAAATCCTGGAGAAATTAAGGATCAGAAGTAAGTAATTACCATTTTTATAATCTGAAGAAAACTTTGGACTGTGAAACAGAATTGTAAGCAATAAAACATGTTCAAAGATTAAAATTAGTCTAAAACTCTGGTTAGAAAACCCAACAGGCCACATTTAAAAAAACTAAGATTCAACCCACCAAAATTTTCCTAATTTTCTAACTTGTGTACTTAACACAGATTAATAAAATACTGTGATGGATCTGGCTGACTGGGTCACCCACGTTCTTTGCAAATTCCCGTCTCTGTGTTAAACTGTAGAGACTAGATTTCCTTGCAGCTAGGGTTTCCAGGTGTGATTTAGGTTCTAGAATCATGAGCATGAGCCTTCTATTTGGAAATGAGTAGAGGAGACAAGCATGCACATGGCATCCACGTTTTGGCTGATGTGGATCACTGAAAAGGCAGCATGGTTCCAGGTTGACAGCTACAGTGGTGGCTTTCAGATCTGGCATTTTCCACATCCTGGCAGAGCAGCAGCTTCCTTGGCAGTGCAGTTCTGTGGTGGGGCTCGACATTCTTAGAAAGTCCCCTAGACCTGTTCTTCCAGTCCTCCCCATGGTCCTGCTATTTACTACCCTACAATATATCCTTTCCTGATTAAAGAAGGGACAATGTGTTATACTATCTGTTTCACGTAACAGGTAAAACAATTAAATCAAAAATATGAGTATTTGGCTATAACATTACATTAAGTAATTGACAACCATCTAAAACTTATAAAACTGAGTTCCCGTATTAGAAAAACATGAGCTGAAATTTTAGATAACAACATTAAAAGTAACTTACCTTGGTAAGAAATTACCTGTACACTAAGCTGTACAGTTCCATCTGTTTTTACTCCTTGGTCAAATAAACTTCGTTCTGGATCCAGCTGAAGATGGGTAAAATGAGTAAGATTATTTTAGCTCAGTCATCTTGTTTAGTATAAATGGATATGTCAAACAGGACTTAATTACTGAAGCATACTAATTAAATTATAAAAATACATTTAATTATTCAAGTTGTCATACCATTTAATTCTTGGCCAAAACTGAGAATAATTTAACCACTGTGGTAGCAATTAAGGACAAGACAAGCAACAGGAATTAAGTGGGGGTCTCCTCTAGCCCCGGAGTGTAGTTTAGAATGTTAAATGATGCCAAAAGGCAACAATTTCTGTAAAAGTATTTAAAGTAGAAGAGAATGCACTTTATCTGCCATGAATAAGCAGAGGTGTTTCATTAGGGGGGACAATTTATACAAATTAATTTACATAATTCTTGCCATATATATATCTCCCTTGTAAACAACAATACACATTCAAGAGCAAGGTTAACTCTGAATTTCTGATCATAAAGTTACAGGACTTACAACCTATTATCCGACCTAGCTATGAATATGTTTCATCATAATTCTATATCCTTTCAGGATCTTTCAGTATCAGTGCTGCTGAATGCATTTCACACAAATGGCAAATTGATGACAAAAGTAACTCTGACTTCCAGACATTCTGTCACCAGTTTAAAAATAGGCTTCCACTGTTAATCCTTTTGACTAATGTATATCTCTGTGTGTCTGCGTATCATACAGCTGGATGGACAAAGCTCCTCCCACTCTCATTCTCAAGAATTCAGCCAGCACTCTAGTCATGGTACAAACACATTTTCTAATATTAAAAGTGTCATATACATAAAGCCTAAAACCTTACGTGGCTATGCATCTAACTTAAGCAGAGATGGGAAAAGCTGTGTCACCCTGCAGGCAGATCAAACGTGGCAGCTTCACTCCTTAATACAATAGTCTCTGCCTGATATTTTGTTAAAAAATTCTCATTTTGAGATTTCCCCCCTCTCTAGTGGACACTGGTATTGTCTACCAGAAGCTGAAGCCTGTGTACCTCTGGAAGAGGGCTCTTAGGTACTGAATACACTAGCTAGTTCAGTAAGAGCCGGCCCAATGACAAAACTCAATCATGGTATTAGATCTTGGGTCACACTCCTTAGAGAAGTGCAACTCAACTGCCGTTCAGCAGCTTTCAGGCCAAGATTCATCTGAAAATACAAGAGCATTACCACAAGCACTGTGACTCCAACTGGGTTTCTGCATTCGTGTCTTGACATGGAGAACAGAAGATGCTATCCTCCCACCCTTTTGAGGAGAGGAAGGGGGACAGGAAGAAATGCAAAATGCCCTAGATCCAAGACTAGCTCTGAATTCTATGATACATAAATTTTGCATATTTTCGTTTACTCAACTAATATTCATCGAGGACCTATGATATATTGGGTGCTGTGCAGGTCATATTTTCATTTTGGTTAGGTCAGGTATTATAAGAGCAATAACAAATGTCAGAGCTGAAAGACAAGGAAGAGATTGAGTCCAGATTCCCCACAATTTTACACATGAAAAAAAATCAGGTCAAGTCCAGTGACACTGAGTTAGTCAATAAAAACTTTCTTAAAAAGTCAGCCTCAAACAAGTGAAGAGAGTTTTGGAGTCACACAGGCCTGGGTGCAAATTTCAATGCACCCCTTTGTAGCTATGCATTAGGTAAATTACTTAATTTCTTTAAATCTCAGTCTCCACGTCTGCAGAATATGATTAAGCATATGGTGACTTCAAAGACTAAAGTGAAGAATAAATGCAGCAATTTAGAAATGTTCTGCAAAAAATTTTCTATTCAATGTAAACTGCCCATATAGCTTTAGTTCACCAAATTTTAATGGTTGCCCTGAATTCCAACCTATAGAGTTTATTTAACTAACCCTCTGTTTTTGGATCATTTGAAATAGCTTCTGCACAACCATGCAATGCACATTTCAGAGGTACACCTTTGTTTACCCAGGTGAGCATGTCTTTAAGAACAATTCCTTGAGGTGGAACTGCTAGATATTCCACATTCAACATTAACAGACACTAAATGCTATATTACCTTCCAGAAAGACTGTGCTAATTTATCCTTTCAGTATTGAGAGAAGAAAAACCTTAAATCCTAAAATTATACTATTATTAGATGCACTTATATTCTCTAGTTTTAGAAGAGCAACTTCCCTTCCCCCAATATTTACTAGACTTACTGAAAAGAAAGAAGTGTGGTTAAATGGTAACTAAAATTCAAAAATTTCATTAAAATATTTCAATTTGTTCTACATCAATATCTTATTTTAAAATAGTAGACATAACAATGATCTGAATTTTTTAAAAAGTATGGCAAAAGTTCTGTAATACATGGAATAGCTATATCACGAGGCGGGGGCGGGGGAGGAGTAAAGAATAAAGCAAACCAAATGATCGAAAAATGACATACTATACTTTAGCATGAATTAGTATTAAAAAACAGAATAAACCCCTAGTATTTACTCACACGCTCCAGGAAGGCCTGGAGAAACTATTTGAGCAATCCTGTCTAGGCTACTGCCTTTTATACATAAAAATACTCCCTTGCTTGAAAGAACACCATAGAACATGACTATACATATGCCGCAAACATAAAATATTATTATCATATGTATTATTATAAATATATATGTGTATACATAGATATTTAAATTTTTATCTAAAATTTACTGCTGGAGCAAATAAAGATGGAAGGGAATGTAAAATCATTCAGTCAAATCACCTCTTTATAAAGATGAGGAAACTGATGCAGTAAGAAGTTAAAAGCTATTTAGAAACAGGGTATGAGGACACACTCCTTCAGCTTCCAAGGTCAATGTGCTTCCCATAACTCTAAATTTAAGCTCTGATTCAAATAGATTTAAACTTCTCATTTTCTATATGTGAAAGTAAAAAAAAAAAAAAAAAGAACGCTTGATTACTCAATATTTTAAAAATAAATTTAAATAAAGGAAATTCTGTTGAAAGAATTCTTTTTATTTCTAAATGCTTAAATTTTATAATAATATAGGTCAAATCTAGTTTCAGAGAGAAAGGCTAGAGCTATAGAAATAAAAGGCCAACAACAAAAGAATTCTAATGCAGACATAAGTGCTGAAATAGAAATCTCAAAAAAGAAAAGAGAATACCTGGATATCTTGCAGGCAAATTTCATGAGCATCCAAAGAACACTGTAGTCGTGGTTCTAGTAGTTTCTTTAAATTGCCTATTGGCTCATTGATGTCTATGGCCTGGCTTACACATTCGGCTGGGGTGTAGGTTTGTTCCACAATGCTAACGAATATAATGTTAAAGGATACAGCAGTTAAGAATTACATTTCTACCCTGGATGTTAATGTAACAACGTGTTCAATACAAAATTCAACACCAAAACACATTTCTGGTCTTTGAAGCTCATTTCTGCAAAGGACATCTTTCATAGGCTCATCGCCAACCAGCGTTGCCAAACTGAACAGTGAATCACAGAGAAACGCCAGCTTGCAATTTAAAGCAACCTTGCAAATATGCCTTGTTATGTATATATATGTGTATGTGTGTTTGTGTATATATACAAATATTGCACATACAACATTTAAGGGGAGATCTTTACGTTTATATATTTCTAAGTTATTTTAGACTCAAAAAAGAATATAAAAAGTCTCAAAATTTGTATGCCATCTCTACTAGTCAATTTCCCTTCCCCACATAAATACAATTTAATAATATAAATTTTAAAATAGTTCCCATTTAATCTACTGGTTATAATCAGCACAGATCCACCATAAATATTATATTATTCCTTTAAAACTCTCTAAGGGCTCTTTTGCATTGTTAGTTCATACTCTGAATTCTATGGTACCACAGCTCCTTAAGGGTAAAATCTTTGGTAAGCAATCCTATATATCTTTTGTGAATCCTTATTTGAGGCCAAACAGAAGACAGTAATATTTGCTGAATTGGTAAATCTAGAATTCAATTATGTTTCACATATTTAATTTAAATATGATTTAAAACTCACTTGCAGTTGTCAAAAACAGTATGTCCTTAAAAACTTGTCAAGTTCCATTTCACATAAATTCCAAGCCTAATGCAATTTATATAGCATATTCACTGAATGTATTCAGCTTAAATTCCTTCGAAAACTTTTAACATTTATAAAATAGATGACTCATAACTGAAGAAAACAAGATTTTAAAATAATAGTGAACTATTATTATGCTTATTTGTTAGGGTAAAATAATTGGGGTTTTTGGTTAAGTATTTTTACCAAATACTTCAGCTGTAGCACAGTGGGCCATATTTTTTCCTTTCTTTGTAACAATAATTCTTTAAAAGAGTCAGATATCACTTTGAGATAGATTTTTAAGGACCTACTTTACATAAGCTCAACATTTAAAACATTTTTAATATTCTGTTGCCACTATTTACACCTTGGGAAACTTCATACAAAAATCTGAGTATCAACTTCTCTCAAAAAAAAATGTGGATGATCTCCCATCACTAGATCTAAATTCCTGCTACAGCTGGATGGCCACCACTGCCCCCTTCGCCAGTAACCTGCTGCTACCCGCCAGGCGAGCAGTAACTACCAACAGCGGTAACTACCAATCTCTCACGTGAGACGTGGACAAAGGTTTTCTAAAGGGGGCAAACAGTAAAAACTTTAGATTCTGTAGACCATGAATGTGTATATAAAAATAAATACATGTACGTGAGGCTTCATGATGGCCCAAAGATCCTCACCTCCTAATATTATAGTTCCCTCCCGAACTGTACCAAGGTTGGACTGTGTGACCAAAGGACTAAGGCTGTGACATATGTGTCGCTTCTTAGATTAAGTTATTTAAAAAGATATCGACGCGAATGCTCTCTCAGACTACTTGTTTTCGGGAAAGCTGGCTGCCATGTCACGCGCAGCCCTACACAGAAGCCCACGTGAAGAGGAAGTGAGTGGTCCTGCCACCAATCTCATGAGTGATCTCGGCAACAGACATGCCAGCGCCAGTCAACTCTTCAGATGACTGTCGTCCAGACTGACAGCTTAACTGCAAGCTCATGAAATACTCTGAGCCAGAACTATCCAGCTAAACTTCTAGGTTCCTGACTCTGAGAAACTGTTCAATAACAACTGTTGGGTGTTTCAAGCTGCCAAGTTTTGGGGTAATTTGCTACATAAAGAAATAAATGTATGTATATGTGTGTGTGTGTGTGTGTGTGTGTGTGTGTGTGTGTGTGTGTATGAAAATTTTAAAAGGCATGTAGTCTATTGTTTCTTTGGCTGGAGAAAATTTCATAGTCAAACATGTTGAAAAGGTCCATTAAAAATTTAAGATCTCCCAGGCAGTCATGTCAAGGTATTTTAGACCTTTTCTGTGAGGAAAATGTTCCTATGTCAGGACGTGGTGAGAGAGGACAGGACTGAGGACAACTAAAATGGGGTTTGTCTTTTGAGCTAGAGTCAGGCGTCTCCTTTGAGCAGAAAAGGTGGTGTGGTTGGGTAACCATGGCCTGAGGGCAAAAAAAATGGGGGAATGGGGGAGCTAATTATTAACTGGCATAAAATCTCAATTATGCAAGACAAATAAGTTGTTGAGATCTGTTGTACAACACTGAGCCTACAGTTGACAATATCATACTGTACACTTAAAAATCTGTTGAGGGTAGACTGCATGTTAAGTATTCTTTCCACAATAAACTCATCCTTATTTTATCCTTAGTAATCTTGTCCGTTCCCACTGTAGCTGTTCTAAAGCTCTGTAACTCTACAGAAGTTTTCGACTGCTCTTTAGCCCCTTTTACCTTCGGCATATTAAAATATCTCACCTCCGGCTTTACAGAGTAAAGCAGAATCATTAGCCATTACCTTCCTCAACCTTTTTGACTCCCAAATCTCTATTTTACCCACATTCTCTCCTTGGATTCTGAACTCACTACTACTGCCCTCCTTCCTTAACAGAGAAAGTAATATTCTATTACTGTTTCAAAACGAACACCTTCCACAACTCTGTATGCTCCCAGCTGTATCTCCTCAAATACATGGTGATCCCCACAAGGGCAGGTTATAGTCGCACTGATTCACGTACTCCTGACAGGTACTAGTTGTTAAATTTGTTCAGGTTGTGAATTAAAACTCTTCCTGAAATAGAGGTAATCAGCACAGATAAGAGGAGAAAGAGTCAAACAGTGCCCAAGGATAAAAACCATCCCAATCAACTGCTTGATCAGCATCACCTATGCTTATTACTATCTTCGGTTTAAAACTACCTTTTCCTCCCAGCTACAAACCCATTAAGTTAGAGAGAAAAGGCAATACATTGTCCCCCCAAACGCTGAGGTCAGTTGAAAAAAAGAAAAAGGGCCCCAAAGAACTCTGGCTTGATCCTTAATTTTAATTTGGCATGCTGATAATATAAAAGTGGTCAATTCAAAAAATACCAACCTTTCTTCTGTGCACTCTGGTTTCTCTGTCCCATCAATCTCAATTTCTATCAGCTCCTCTGCTTCTCTCTTCGTCATGGTTGAAGTATTTCAAAAGCTCAGCCCTATAAGAGTTAAATTTTAAGACATTCTGAAATTATCTGCATAAACAGAAATGCTATATAAGAAGCAAAAACTCAATTCAAATAAAATCAGAGGTAAGTAGGAGGAAGTAACCTTCACATGTAAAAGAAAATCCACAATTGATAGATAGTTACAAACTAGTTTTTCTTTAATGATATTTATTAACCAGACATGACATCATCATCACTCCACTGGATGTTCTGGGATGTTTTTTACCCAATCTTAGCTCAGTAAATTAATTTAAGTTACTCCAAAATCAAGTGACAAGTATGTCAACTATATTAAAGCAATTCAGTCTTAATAAAAGACTCAAACCTGCAGCTTAAAAATCAACATGGAGATGAACCATTTATAACTGTTCAGCTAAAAGCTGTACCTTATTAGCAGAATTTACTGCAAACCACTGTACTAACAGAGTAATACAAAGTTAATCCTGGCTATAATTTTTGTTACAAATTACATATCTTATAAATGCCAGTATAATAATTTCAAACAGCAAAATAAAATAACAAAATCACTATAGATATTTGCATTACTGCCTAAATATACACCATCACCAGTACAAGACCCACCACCATCTCTCACTGGAATACTCCAACAGCCTCTTCCTAACACGTTTCCCTGTGCTGCTGCCCTTGTCCCCCTACAATCTGGTCTCAGTCAGTACACAGCAGTGACCTTTTTTAAAAATGCAGTTACATCATAGCACTCTTTTGATTGATACCAATCACAGTGAAACCTAAAGACTTTCCGATGGCCAGCAAGGCCCTATGTGAGCTAATCCCCATTCCAGTACTACTGACTCCCTCGCCCACACTGGCCTCCTTGCTTGTCCTAGCTTTGTTCATTCTTCTTGTCCAAGCATTCATCCTCTAACCTACTATAGCATTCATTTACTATAGTCTTTCTTTTTCTGTTGGCTCATTATCAAAGTGCGAAGAGCAAAACTGTCCAAACGTGACCCCAAGAACTTAAGTTGGTTTCTCTGGACTGGGGACTTCCCCTAGCTCCTAGAAGTGGGACAGGCTGTACCAGCTCTCAACTTTTCCAGGAACCAAGATCTCTGTGGTAGGCACAATAATGACCCAGAACTTGTGATTACATTCTATCATATGGCAAAGAAGAATTAAGGTTACTAATCAGCTGACCTGAACATAAAGAGAGTAGCCTAGATTATCCACATGAGTCCAATGAAATCACTTTCTTAAACTGAAGAGATCTAGAGTGATTCAAAGTGAGAAGGACTCGACTAGCCGGCTGTGACTAGTTTTGAGGATGAAAGTAAGTGGCCACAAGCCAAGGAATGCACACAGCCTCTAGAAGTGGGAAAAGAAAAGAAACAGGTCCTCCCTTACAGCCTCCAGAAGAAACACAGCTCCGCCAACATCTGATTTCACTTTTTGACTTCAAGAACTGTATGGTAATAAATTGGTGTTTTTAAGCCCCTAGGTCAGTAGTAATGTGTCACAGCAGCACTAGGAAACAACATAGGCTTCTTTCCCACTTCAGAAATGGCTGTAACTCTCCACAGGGCCAAACACCTCCAGCTGCTCCAGAGCTGGTTCTGACAACTTGGTCCACAAATCGCTGGCATCCGAATCTAGAATGCCTGGTACAAAAACGATGATTTTCAACACATTTCCCCTATAAGAAGAAAGAACAATAAAAGCGTGGGGCTCCCCACTGGAATAGATACACCTCATGAACATCTAGCAGAATGCCTAGACCCCAGAAAATTCTGTTTGAGATGATTAAAGAATGAAGGGATTTTGTTTTCTTGCTGATCCTGGTCTAAGTCTTCCCTTCCCCCATAAAGCCTATTTCTTAATTGATACTATGTGTAAAACTGTGGAATCATCCTGAACACTACAGCAAAACAGGTGGTGATGACCCAGCAGGGACCAACCCCGTAGAACAACATAAGCTCCTCCTGGGAAAGGTGATTTGTTTACAGATGTATACAAGGTATTAAAAAGTGTTGAATAAATTAATGTTATAAGAACTATTACACATGACATAAATTAACTCCAGAAGCCTAAAAGGCTTAAATGTGAAAGGTAAAACTATAAAGCAAATAGAAGAAAATGGTGGGAATTTTTTTGTGATCTAAAGAGAGATAAGGATTTATTTCTTAAATAAAATTCCAAGAACATAAATTTTGAGGAAAAAAAGCAGACAGATTTGAACACATAAAAATTAAGATTTACGTTCACCTGATAGGCTACAGAGTAGAAAAGATATTTCTCATATCCAAACGTGTAAAGGGACTAATAACTGGAATAGACAGTGAACTCCTGCAAGTTGATAACAATCTCAAAAAAAACCAGGACAAATCAGAAAAGTAGGCAAAGCACAGGAAAAGGAAACTCACATAAAGAGAAACCAAAACGGCTAAGGACATGAAGAAATGTTCACATTCAGACCATTCAAAAAATGCAACTACCACTTGATACCATGTGTACATGGCAAAGATTAGAAGAGAGTCAGATCAGAAGAGGGACATGGAGGTGTAAGAGTCCTGCCTCTGCTGATAAGAGTACAGACAGGTCTGACAATTCTGGAGAAAAATCTGCTAGCACTTGCTCAAATAAAGTACGCTTATACCTATGATCCAGCAGTCTTGCCCGTGGATGAGCATTCCAGAGACATTCTCATACTGACTGAGGATGCTAAGGGGAGCGTTGCTGGAGACAGCTGGAAGCTGGAGCCAATATAAGCATCCATGTACGGGAGTACTGTGATACAAGAAAATGTGAAAGAAGCAACTGCACACTATGGAACTTCCACAGCAGTTAGAAACAAGGCACTAATGTACACACACGCAGAGGCAAAATCATAAAAACTGTTCCGTACAGAAAGTGAGAAACAGAAAAAGGTTTATATAGTAGGACAGCACTTAAAAGGATCATTTACGTTTCATTTTCAGGGCCTACAGGGAAGCCCACTCCCATCTCCACAACCAACTTTTAAAAAAAGATTAGAAAGCAAGTGAATTTTCTGGGAACTTGGCAAAACAGAAAGCATTCTGAGACACTAACTGTAAGGAGACAGGGTAGGGGAGTTCCCTGGAGAAAGAGAACCAGGCACAGCTTTCTTTCTTTTTTTTTAACTCAAGACAAACGCAGCAGGAATTTGCAGGCCGCTGAGAGTGGCTTGGGCTGTTGGCAAGTGCAGGGCTGGGTGAGGTGAACCTGTCAGAGGCTGGTGCTCCTGGGGCTGTTTCCCTTCCATCAGGCCACAGACAGCCAAGGTGTGCAGCCCTGAGTGCTGGGTGCCGGCCTCCTGAGTGATCAGGTGTCCAGGCATGGCCTTCCTGACATAAGAGAAGCCATTTTTGGCCTAAGCCATTTTGGGATCTAAGCCTGGCCACAGCACTTCTCCTTGAACAGGCCTCAGTAATAAAGATCTTAAAGAGTAACAATAGTGAAGATCATTAAGTCAGTTGTAGACTCCCAGTTGTGTTCCAAAGGCAGATTAACCTGAAGCACTTTCTTCAACTGTTTTGCAGAATCTAACCCCCTTCAAGCACTCAACTACCAGATCAACTGGAACCTAAGGGATGATGATGTTGACCTTTCTGACCCTCATGTCTTCAATCAACTAAAGCTTAAGACTCTGTCAACTCCCCACCAGCCCACCCCGCCCCTATTCTATACTGCATTCTCCTGTTCAAGCCCCTTCATGAATATGCACATACCACCTAAGCCCCTTCATGAGTATGCATATTCCCTTAGCTTAATACTTTCCTGATTTAGGGAAAGATCCCTGGTGTTCTCCTCACTTGATACAAGTAATAAATCCTTCCTTCTCCTGATCTTTGGCTCCATCATGTCTTCTGACTTGACATTCACCTGAAAACTGCTTTCAGGTAACAAAACCAGAGCCTGAGAAATGGCCCTAAGGTCTTATCAGCAGGGATACCTGTGGCACCCGTTAATATAAGTGCTAATATGGGGTTGTTAAAGAAAATTTATCCTATGATCTTCCAAAAAAGTTAAGAGATCAGTCTCAAGAAGGTGCCAAATAAAGGAAAAAAAAAAGAATCCCATGTAATTCTGGAAAAAAATCATGTTACTTCACAGTCTCTGAATTGATCTTCCTCTTTCTTTCTCAAGTTCTCTAAATTTAGTCTAAAAAAGCAACGGAGAGATTTGGGAAGTCATCCGAATCTTTGATATCGCTGCTTGAGTGGGTCGTAGCTCTTTTTCTGGAACCAATTCCCCAGAATTCTATGTCAATACTTAAGAAAATGGAGAAGAGAACAGTACTTGGAGCCTTTCCACCTAGGGAAAGGTCCCCTTGACACCCTGGTTTCTCCTAGATTAAATTTAATCTGGATTCAAAACGCTTCACAAAATGAATACAAACTAAACTTAAATTTAACTAAAAATTCCAGGAAAGGCTAGTATTCTTTAAAATACAGTTATGTTTAACATTCTCTTTTAAAGACAGAGATAAACTTGAGGGTCGTTCTTCTTTATTGGAAAACATTATTAGTTTACACAGTTTAGGGTAATTTTTCCCAGTAAAGCTCAATAAATAAATAAAGAATAAATAAATACAAGTATAAGCCTGATCAACTGTACGTTTCCTCGTGCTAAAAAATACTTTTAAATATCTGAAGAAATTAAAACACATTTCTGTTCTTTAAAGATAAAATCAATACGGAAAGGTAAAGCATATACATGTGTGTGGGTGTGTGTGTACCTGTGGAGAGAGAAAGCAAGTGTGGAGAAAGGTTAATACTTAGTGACCCTGAGGGTGAAAGTGTTGGTTGTATAATTTCACTGCATAATTTTTTGTCAATTTTCCTGTAGACTTGGAAGTTTTATAAATAAAAGCTGGAGGGAGATTAAAGTCAACAGTTCTAATTTAGTATTCAGCCTCCATATGCTCTCATGACTTGCCCCAATTTAACATCTAGTTCACTAGATGTTACTTCAAGACTATATATCCCTCATGGCATTTGGTCCTGTAGATGCAATCCAGGTAAAATTAATTTAAGTCCACCTAGTGTCGGGATATGTTTCAAAACAAATAAGCTTGGAAAGCCTGACTCAAATCTAAGAAAGACTTCATTATTTCTTTAAAGAAGTTTCGAACGAGTTGACCAGTTTCTTTTGATATTTAAGACAACATAGTACCTAAGAATATTATCACTGCCCAGTTCTTCACTTTGCTCAAGCGGACCCTCCCAAATCTTTGCTCCGCCCACGACTCAGACCTACTGCGTGTATTTCTAAATCACTAGTCATCATCTTGCAATGCAATGTTAGGCGTAGTCCTCCCAGCCGTTAATCTAGAGTAGGATTCCTAAACACAAACACGCGCTCGCTTACTTTTCAGTCCACCAAAAAAAAAAAAAACAACAACCTAAAAAAGCTGACAAGCTACGTTAACCCATCATTTTCCTCATGTCTTACTTCCTTGTTTTTAAAAGAAACCCAACAGACACCATATACATTAGTAGATGGCTTTGATGCAACTGTAAGACAATTCTAGAAAGACAACTGGATTTGAAGTGAGAGCGAATCGCTGAGCTGGCAAGGAGACAGGTTTTATATCCTCCTCTGAAATCCCGGGGGCGTCAGGATCAGATGCCGACCGCGGCGACTGCAGACCACCGCGGACAGTCGGGCAGGGGACAGTGCGGGAAGAGGGCGGCGAAAGGTGACACGAACGACCTGGGGCCCGGGG